CTTCTACACACACACACACACACACACACACACACACACACACACACACACACATAAATACAAGTGTTAAGTGATTTAGCGAAACATTTACAATTTATTTTATAAGGCCCAAATATTGTGCGCTACTTGTTCAATTAAATACGCAATAAGAGCTTTTTTACGAATGCGCTTTTAGTTCATTTGATCATGCTCGATCCACGGAGATTATATGATGGCTACGATCGACAATCGATACTGAAGATCAATATTGTCAAACAGTTATTACAGATCAATTCATAAATTCAGAACATTTTTATTAGAAATTTTCAGAAATCTTCTACATGTAACAATTATTTACGATTCCTTGATATATTGTTTATATTGTTATATTAATCATGCGCTTTGTTGAAATGATTATGAAGAAATATGACTGTATATTGTTTTACGCTTGTTTACGAAACGATCTAATTGTTAAAATGTGAATTACTGTGCAATAATTCTTAATCGTAAATAGTGTTATAACAATTTTCCTTAAGTCTTAAATGATAATTTTTGTAACCTTTTTACTAGCAAAATAACTACGTATGAAAATCGAATTTATAAACAAATTTTGTTTTTATAAAATAACATAAATAACATAAATAACATATTCCATGACTTATCAAATTCACAAAAAATAGTTTTTAATTCTTACCTAATGTATCTTTATACACTCTTATGTAGATACTTATTAATTTTAACTTACACACACCCACCCACTCACCCACCTACTCCCCCCCCTCCTCACACATACATACATACACACAGAGGAAGTTTTTTAATAGGTGTTAAATAATGCTCAGTAATTATATAGCGGTATTTCTCATTAAAAATTAAGTTGAAAAGTCTTGAATTATTTTTTTCTACAATAAGTAATTATTGAGAAAAGATAATTTAATATCAGCACTATCTTTCAGACCTGTGAGTGAGCCAAACATAACGATTGAGCCGATCACGTGCACTATCAAACGCAGTTTATGTATGCCTGTTTAAAAGATGGCGTTAATTAAACTTTTCTCTCTAATTACTTCATTACACAATAAGGAAAAGAAAATATAATAGTTCAAAACTTTTTTACTCAAATTTTAATGAGAAATATCGCTATATAATTAATGGGCTTTATTTATACTCTGTGTGTGTGTGTGTGTGTGTGTGTGTGTGTGTGTGTGTGTGTGTGTGTGTGTGTGTGTGTGTGTGCTCTGAGAAGTAGCGTAAACAAATTTTGTAAAAAGTCTATATTCGAATAATTTATTACTTTCAGTAGAAATTTACAAACAAAATTAATTTGGATTAATCAAAATCTTTAACTAGGAAGAACCACTATTCAATATTTTGTAAGCTTTTTGTCATCAAGTACAAGTCCTGCTATTGATTCCTGTAAATGTTCTAAATGCGCGTTCTTAATAATTTGACCCACAACTATTCTAGATGCGAGCAATCAATTACATTATCTTAATCATAAACGGTCTTGTTTGCAAGCGACACGAGCTCGACAATACTGATCTTAATGGTAGAACCAGAAGTTTAACAGGACTAGAATTAAGGTCAGCGATACGATTGTCGATCTAGCTCTGTTAACGAGCCATTGATCATCGTTCTTTGGAATTGGCAGACATGGATTCCGAGAATCGGTTCCAGAGGAATGAATTTTCCTTCCTCGTGGCAGCAGTAATGCCGACTTTCCGCGAGCGTCGGTTGTTCTATCGATCTTGTTCCTCCTTTCCCTAAATTATCAATCTCATTGCTTCTTTTCTGCCGACGATAATAAACGGGCAATGTGCATCGGATGCACAATTATAGAAAACCCTTGGGGTTTTCCCTCTGGAATGCCTTGTTAAGTATGTTATATTCGTTCTTTTCCATTTTTTTCTAGATCCACGGTCCTCAAGTAGCGCTATTAAGGACACGAGACTTTCTGCTGTCCTTATGATGACGTCCGACCAGTTGGCGGATATGCGTGGTAACGTTTGCAGGCAATAGACTAGGTTCCTCGATCGTTGAGGTTGCCAAAACCATTGAGAGAGTTGGTGACGACGATGACGACGACGACGACGACGACGACGACGACGACGACGACGATGACGATGATGACGACGACGACGACGACGACGACGATGACAATGACGAGGAGGAAGAAGAAAAGGTAGTATCACTGCGATGATTGATGATGTTCGACGATTGACCGCGTCTCGATGATCGCGTCGATCTGCGAATTGATGGCGTTCTTGTCGTCGCTGATGACGTCGCAAACCATTCCGATGTCGTCGACGACGTCGTCGAGCCTCCAACGAACTCTTGGTGGCTCGTGATCGACGACGTTTGTTGCTGATATTGCAAACTGATGGCATGATAAGCCATGTTTCTTTGCTGAGCTCGCGATATAGAGACGTGCGAGGCTGTTGCATAACCTTGCTTGAGATTGTAAGTGTTATCATTTCTGATGCTGGTGGATGATGAATAGTGCGAAGGCGACGAGACGGGAGAAGTTGTGCTTGCAACGGTGGTGGTGATGGTGCGTGTGGTGCGTGTGGTGCCGGTGCTCGCTGATAAAGTTGTTTCCGGTGCACCGTTGACCAATGATTGGATCGGAGGAACCGATGAATGACGTACGAAAGACTCAGGAATAACGACTGGAGAATGTTGCTGCTTGTTGTCACCCAGATCGCCAGCACAGTCATAATCGTAGCTGCAGCAAAGTTGCCCATCCTACGAAGAGGTTTGTAGGAGAATGGGTTAGCCACGGCGGAGGGAATTGGGCACTTTTTGTTCATAATTGTCGATATGGTTTATCGATTCCTAATTAGGAAGTCTTGGCCGGCACGATTTATAAGAGAACGCGATATGTGATAAAGTGTCATATCGAAAATGAAAATTAAACGTATATAAAACACAACATTATTTTTCGATCGTGAGCTAATCATATATTTCAAATAAATAAAAAGTGAAATATTTCTTGATTACTGTTTAAAATCTATTATTATTATTATTTAAACTTATTTTAAAATTATAATAGAATATATCAATGTATTTTGCATTAATTTAAATTGTTTTCTAATAGAATCTTATTTCTATTCTAATATTTGTAAAAAAGCTTCTGTAATAATAAATCTATTTCTTGTAATAATATTACAATATTAGGAGTTATTACAATATATATATATATATATTTATTTGACCAATTATTACTAATTTATTTTTCAATAAATATAGTAATTTGTTAAAAAATTATTTTAATAAAAATGAATTAAATATACATTAAATAGCGAAATCGCGAAATAGCGATAATTTATTTTTGTGTGTACCATTTTAACTGAACTTTAACAAATGGATTAACTAAACAATAGCTCGGCACAAGACTTTCTAATTAGTATAATAATGAGGCAGGTACTTGTGTCCATAGTATGTAATTCATTGTTTCGTAGAACAATGTCACAGCAGTTCCACCGTGGCGAGAATAAACCAACATATAAGAATTCGTTCCCCGTTTTATTTTTCTTTGTGACGTTGCTTGTATTCGCAATGGCGGCATCCTTTTTTCTTAGTCAAGAAAATAAATTATAAGCGGCGATTATACAGTTACAATAAGGACACTCATGCTAACATTTGAAAGGGAGCAAAACAATGAATTTCCATAATATGTCTTTAATACCCGGTGAGAAATGTCTAAGTTTCTACTACTTTCTGCTACAATTCTGGCAAGATACTTTTATAGTATGTATATGACATGTGTATTTGTACAATGTTTGTATTATTAATAATACTTGATAACTGAACAATAATAAAGAAAGATTACGGTTTACTCCTCACAGATTTTGATAAAATTTGCTGCAATATTAGAAGGAAGTATCAAATTTATACCGGTAAGGAAAGCCATTTCTCTGAATGAATCTCAAAAGATGAATTATAAGAAATAAAATGTAAATTATCATGACATACCATCTATAATATTAAATATATTTAATAATATTAAATATTATATATATATGTGTGTGTGT